TTTGTGCGGTGGCGGGGCCGGCGGTCTCCTTGAGCTTCAGACGCAAGGAGTTGACCCCGAGAGAAGTTGTGAGTGTGTCGGAGACGCACGGTATCCCGGTTGGGGTGGCCTTCGTGGAGCCGAGAGGGGAGAAGTACGATGGCGCTTTCCCGGTGATGTGGCTGGCATGGAGGGATGGATGGCACGTTCTGGGGACGGAGACTTGGGTGGAGTGAGGACTCAGCACCCTGCCTCCACGAAGACATTGGGCTGGAGGCACCCGTCTTCTCTCCAGCGTCTAAGATTTCAAAGCCCGTGGCTCAGTAAGTCCGCGTAGGGCACCCCCGGCTAGGGACCATGCCAGCCCACGAGCTGCTCCGGTATTTTCGGATACCGGAGCTGGCCGACTTCCGACAGTACGTCCGCGCGCTCCCAGCCAACTCGCTCACGGGCTTGGACGCGCTCACCGCTTTCACCATTCTGTGGTTTGCCATGAGGCCCAGGGCGCCCACGCCCCCGAGCGCCCTCGCCATGCAGTCGGTGGAGGTGGCGGGCAGCGGCGGCGCGCGGCGGTCCGCGCTCCTGGACAGCGACGAGCTCCTGGTGTACCTGTACGAGGACGTCAGGACCGTGTACCAAGCTTTCCAGAGGGGCGTCCGCCTGTCCAATAACGGCCCTTGTCTAGGCTCCCGGCTGCCGGACGGGCCCTATGAATGGCTCTCCTACCAGCAGGTGGCGGAGATGTCCGAGTGCGTGGGCTCGGCCATGATCCAGATGGGCTTCGGGGCGGCACCGGACCAGAACATCGGCATCTTCTCCCAGAACAGACCCGAGTGGGTGGTCATCGAGTACGGATGCTTTGCTTACTCCATGGTGGCCGTCCCCCTCTATGACACCCTGGGAACCGAAGCCGTCACTCACATCGTCAACACTGCGGAACTCGCCCTGGTGTTCGTGGACAAGCCCGAGAAGGCCAGCCTGCTGCTGGAAGGGGTAGAAAACAAGTCGACCCTGGGCCTCAGAACCGTCGTGGTCATGGACTCCTACGGCAGCGACCTGTCGGCACGCGGCGAGAGGTGCGGGGTGGAGATCGTCAGCATGAAGGCCGTGGGGGACCTGGGAAGAGCCCACAGAAAGACGCCCCAGCCGCCCGCGCCTGAAGACCTTGCAGTCATTTGTTTCACAAGTGGCACCACCGGCAACCCCAAGGGGGCCATGATCACCCATCGCAACATGGTGAGCGACTTCTCGGCGTTTCTGAAAGTGACCGAGAAGGTCATTCACCTGGATGTCAGTGACACACACATTTCGTTTTTACCGCTTGCACACATGTACGAGCAGCTCTTGCAGTGTGCGATCCTGTGCCACGGAGCGAGAATAGGCTTTTTCCAAGGAGACCTCAAGCTGCTTATGGATGACCTCAAAGTGCTTCAGCCCACCATCTTTCCGGTGGTCCCGAGGCTGCTGAACCGGATGTTCGACAGAATTTGGGGGCAGGCCAACACCACCCTGAAGCGGTTGCTACTGGACTTCGCCTCCAAGAGGAAACAAACAGAGCTTCGCAGTGGCATCATTAGAAACGACAGCCTGTGGGACAAACTGATCTTCCGCAAAATACAGTCCAACCTGGGAGGGAAGGTCCGGCTGATGATCACCGGGGCTGCGCCCGTGTCAGACACGGTGCTGACGTTTATGCGAGCGGCGCTGGGCTGTCATTTCTACGAAGGCTATGGGCAGACTGAGGGCACAGCCTGCTGCTCAATGACCGTTCCCGGAGAGTGGACCGCAGGCCACGTCGGTGCCCCCGTGCCTTGCAATCTGATAAAACTCATCGATGTGAAAGAGATGAACTACTTGGCTGCCAACGGCGAGGGCGAGGTGTGTGTGAAAGGCTCAAATGTATTTCAAGGCTACCTGAAGGACCCGGTGAAGACATCGGAAGCTCTGGACAAAGGTGGCTGGTTGCACACAGGGGACATTGGGAAATGGTTACCCAATGGGGCCTTGAAGATCATCGACAGGAAGAAGCACATATTTAAACTGGCACAAGGAGAATACATAGCACCCGAAAAGATCGAGACTATCTACGTACAGAGCGAACCCGTTGCTCAGGTGTTCGTCCATGGAGACAGCTTGCAGGCATTTCTCATAGCGATCGTGGTCCCCGACGTGGAGACGCTGGGCCTCTGGGCAGGGAATCGAGGCCTGGTGGGATCCTTCCAGGAGCTGTGCCGCAGCAAGGATGTCAAGAAAGCCATCCTAGAGGATTTGGTGAGGCTGGGGAAGGACTCTGGCCTGAAACCATTCGAGCAGATCAAAGGCATCGCTCTCCACCCTGAACTGTTCTCTATTGAAAACGGCCTTCTGACCCCGACAATGAAGGCAAAAAGGCCACAACTTCAGAATTATTTCAAGTCACAGATAGAGGAACTTTATTCCACCACCAAAGTTTAAGGGAGGAGGAATGGTCAGAAGAAACCACACACCTCCACGATCTTCTTCTCCTGGTGGCTTTCACGTTGGCGATTTGACTACAAGAGCATAGGGAAGGACACCCCTTGTTTGACTTGGGCATTGGGCTCTTGTCATAGGAATATTAGAGGAAGCGAGACTCTGCCTTGCAGTCACCTTGCTTGGCAGATCATGTACCCATGTGGTGATATACCATTTCCAAAACGAGCTTTCACAATAGTCAAGGGAAACTATACATGTGCTAAGTTATTCGTGACTTCCTTTGTTCAGAAGGCGGATGTGGAACTTCTGTCTCCCTGTTTTTCTAACCAAGGGACTAGGACTTGCTATTTCTGAATGTCTGCTGCTTGCTGCAAACTCTGTAGTCGTTGGCTGCTTGGAAGAATACATGCACTGGAAGGAAACTGTTCCTTATGAACAACTCTCCCAGCTGGAGAATGTCACAAGTGGACTAGAGATTTTTTTTTTATTCCTGTCAGCTCCCCTTCCCCACATCTTACACATGCTCATGTCCCCTTGGATGAAGGCTTCTGAAACGCCTGCTCTTCCCCCCCCCTCCCCCCCATTCCCTTATTGTTCCTTTTGGAGCCGAAGTTTCCCAGGAAAGTGCAGAACAGACCGACTCAGGACAGTAAAGATACTGAGTCCCAGACACGGGGCCACTCCCAGGGTGAATGGATTCTGGTACCAACGAAGCAGAGTGCTCTCAGGGCCTCCTCTCCAGACTCTCCCTCCCTCTGTCCCCGGGGCTATGAGAAAATCAACCAAGCATTTCAAGAAAGAAAGAATCACCTGGCAAGACCATGCTCAACTGTGAAGCCTAAGTAACTGTCCACTTTATCTCCACTGAACATCCTTCTGTTTGTGATGGCCAATGGGCTTTTAATGTGGTTTTCATATCAGAAGTTCACATTGTGATTAACTGGCTTTTCCCCAGAATAAACTCTCAGGCAAGGCATGTCTACGAGGCTTTAAGGAGTGCATAGACGTGGGTACTAATGGAAATGGATGATAATAAACTTGCTCTCCTGCCATCATGCTTCCTGGCTCCTGTGAAATGTTTCCGCAAGCCAAATTCTCAGGGATGGAAGTCCGAACACTCATTTCCTGGGAGTCACTCCTCCCAGGATTTCTTTAAGTTAATTTGCTAATTTCACTTACCAGAAAGCCTTTGCCACGTGTGACTGGAGTAAGTTGTCATTATGGGTGTGAGTACACATGCCGCACAGCACTGGGGGTTGCACTCAAGTCGTCATCATAGCCTAATCCGTGTGTGTGTTCTTCACTGCACAAAAAGTCAATAACTTGTCACATTGGGGTTTTTGAGTGTTTGCTTTACGTAAGTGTTGGCTATTTCTATGTTTTATAAGCCAAAACAGAATTTCCAAAAACAATGAAGGAAACAAAAATATTTCTGCATTTAAAAAAGAAAGAAAGAAAGACGGCTCATGCACTAAAACTCTCATCTTTTGGTTAATGCCTAAAATTCCAGAGAGCCAATCCTTGATTTAAAGGTTTAATTTGTAAAATATAGACTATCAGACTATCAAGGTAGAGTTTCTCTTTGGGACTGAGTAATAACTACTATATTTTTTAAAATATATTTTATAGATTTTTTTACAGAGAGGAAGGGAGAGGGATAAAAAGTTAGAAACATCGATCAGCTGCCTCTTGCACACCCCCTACTGGGGATGTGCCCACAACCAAGGTACATGCCCTTGACCGGAATCGAACCTGGGACCCTTCAGTCTGCAGGCCGACGCTCTATCCACTGAGCCAAACCCGTTAGGGCATAACTACTGTATTTTTATACTTATCTAAAAGTGAGAATACTGTATTTGCTCCAAATTGACTTTGGGTAAAGAGGGTAGGCTGCTTGCAAACCAGAGAAAGTAGAAATAGGGAAACAGGACACACCTGGTAAGTACACATAAAACAAACACAGAACCTATTGATGGTAGGCTAGCTCAATTTCCTCAGATTACAAATATGTACTGACATTTTAATTTTGGTATTTGTTTTTTGACCTTTTTAGATTATAATGTTTGGGATTTTGTCTGTTTTACTTTAAGGGGCCATGCTTGCAAGTGAATATTACAAATAAATTTTCAAATACTCTCCTAATTTTCTAAACCTACTCCTGTGATCTTAATTTCTATTTTTATGTATTTGCTCATGTTAAATAAAAACATTCAAACCTGTAAAGAATTTCTGTGAGTGTTTTAAATCAATCTGTCGACAATGGCTGGGAAGCAGAATCTCAATGGATCGGGAAAATGCTCTGGAGAATGGCAGTTTTACACCTTGTTTTATACATTACAATCAAAGGAAGAGATGTAAGTGGATTACATGAAATCCCTTGGTGATAGATTAGGGAGGTGGGAAAAAGCAAAGGCGGGGGCAGGGGACCTCTAGGATTGGATAAAAAGTAAAATGATAGACACATACTTCTTTTACTTAGGTGGGTATAGGATAGTTAACAGTCAACAATTAACAACAATAATGAAGAAATGTATAGTCTCAAGTCCTGGTGCCCAGGCATATTTGGTTGTGCTCTGAGGGGGTCCTGAAAAAGGGAAGTTATAAGTTACCCTGACATTTCACAGGTATGTTATCTTAGATACAAAAAGACAATAGGCTCAGTTAAGGTACAGATTGACTTTTGTCAGGGAAGATACTGGCCTAGGACATAAACTATAAACTGCTTTTAGTTAAAGTTTTATTTCAGACCATCCTTTGTGGTTACTTTAGGTCTTTGAGTTTGCAAGACTGCCAAGAAGGCCTTCCCTGAGCTTGTCAGTTTAGCATGTGGCCCTTTTTTCATCCACATTCATGTTAAAGTTTTTGTAAAGATTAAATGGGTTAACACATGTAAAGCACTGAATACCCAGGATATAGTAAGTGCTCAATACTATTACTATGATTGATGCTGTTATCTTCTGCTGCTTTGACCTTCAATATGTTCACTTTCCTTCCTCTACCTTCTCTTCAATCTAGCCTATTTCCTCTTCTGTTTTTACTGCTTACATAGTCTCACTGCTACATGGCTCAAACAAAATTCCTTCTTTTTGCTCCTCACCACATTCCCCACAAGAACCAATCTAAACTTTTCCCATTCTTGAGCAGATGAATGTTCTTATATAGAAAATTGGCATTATCAATCCAAAATCCCCTTCTCTTTTCTTCTCAACACTTTAATTTCCCTGCATTCACATTCTCCTCTCTGCTTCAAATATTAGTTCTCCCCTCCTGCATCAAAGGCAGGAGTATTCTTCTGTGGCTTCTATGCCCTCCATCTCTATTTTTTTATTCCATTCTTCATTTGGGATTAGACTTGTCAGCAAATAACAGAAAATCACCAAATAACACTGGCTTCAAAAAAGACAAGTGTTTTTCTCAGGTGAAACAGATCTAGAAGTAGTCTGTTTAAGACTGATATGGCAGCTCCACCCATTGTCTGGGACCCATGCTTTTTTCTTTCTCGCGCCTCTGCCATCACTAAAGTGGCACAAACCTGCTGCTTGCAAACCAGATAGCACACACTACTTTTCAGGGTGTAAAATGAAGTTAAAGAAGGCAAGGGAAGACCTCGCCGGTTTGGCTCAGTGGATAGCGCGTCAGCCCACAGACTGAAGGGTCCCGGGTTCCATTCTGGTCAAGGGCAAGTACCTTGGTTCCAGGTTCTCCTGCCCTGGTCAGGGTGCATGCAGGAGGCAAACCAGCTGATGTGTTTTTGTGTTTCTCTCACATTGATGTTTCTGTCTCTCCCTCTCCCTTCCACTCTCTCTAAAAATCAATGGAAGAATATCCTCAGGTGATGATGAACAAAACAAAAAAAAAATGAAAGAAAAAAGAAAGAAGGAAAGAAAGAAAGAAAGAAAGAAAGAAAGGAAGGAAGGAAGGAAGGAAGGAAGGAAGAAAGAAGAAAGAAAGAAAGAAGAAAGAGGAAGGGAAGACATCCTCTCTTTTAAGATGTTCCTTAAGTGATGGATGCAGACAACAGGGGGTGAGGGTGAGGGCAGGACTGGAGGGGTAAGGGGACAATGGGGGGATAAGGATACATTTGTAATACCTTAATCAATAAAAAAATACATAATAAAAAAGATAATCTAAAAAAAAGATGTCCCTTAAGAACTACACAACACTCAACTTATATGTAATTGCCCAAAATTTAGCCACATCTGGCTGCAAGGGAAACAATGAAAGGAGCTATTTAGCTGAGTGGCAGTGTGCCACTGAAAAATCTGTGTTTTGTAAAGGGGGAGGGGGAAGGTTTTCTGTTATAAAAGAAGTAGAAAAGAATACATTTAGTGAGGCACTCATCCTTTCTCACTTCCAACAATATCCATCTTCTTCAATCCCTTTCCATTCCCCTCAAACACTCTAGCTCTCCACCCTTCATCCTAAAATAAATCCAAAAGCTTCTATTGTCTTTCTCTTCCCTTCACTGCAAGAAATTTTTTATCACTCTCCTCACAATTTCTTTAACATTTCTTCTTTTCTGCTTATTCCCAATCCCTAGTCACCATCTCACCTTTAGGTCATATACCTGCCTAACTAGTCTGAGTTCCTGGGAAATGTAACATAAACATCTTTACCCCAACCAATTCTTTAAATGTTATTTCTAACTTCACAAATAATACAAGAGTGATTGTTTTTTTAAGAAAGTATACGTAAAGAGACATATGTACTACTACTTGTAATACCTTAAACAATAAAAAAAACTACGTAAGCAAAATTAAAAAAAAAAAGTATACATAATGCAAACGTCTCTTTCGGCCACACCCCAGGCTACATTAAAACCTTTAGAATTTGCCGAACCAGTGAAAGAATGGATGGAGGAGGGGAAACGGGAACGCGGGCCTCCGTCACTGCGAGTGTCACCGCCCCACAACGTGGGGCAAAAGGATGGCGCCCAGAGTGAACGCTAAACCCCGTGCCCTCGGGGATCCCAGGGACTCGCCGGAACTCGGCTGGCGGGCGGAGGTAGGGAAGATGTTCTCGCGAGATCTGGAATTCTCGCGGGAACCGCGAGCGAGGCCCTTGTCTGACGCACTTCCGTGGCTCCGGAACCGACACGGGCCAGGTGGTTGCCAGCCGGTGAGATGGTGGTCACTAGGTCGGCGCGGCCTCGGGCCGACATCCAAGCTACGTCGCCTGAAAGCTCCAGGCAGAAGGTAGGAAATAGCGAGGCTCCCTCTTTTCTGCTCGCCGCTTCGCAGAGGGGCGCCC